ATATCCAAAAGGAAAAACATCAATGAAGGGGACCCACTTTATTATCGATGCTGTATATGTACCCCATAGTATATTGATTTAATATGAACTCCTTGCATTTATAAAGTACTTTTCATGCACGAGGACCTCAAAGTGCTTCACAGTTCTTCCAGCTCTGGAGTGCAGTAGACACCTGGATGACCACCCGCCAGCAGCTCCACAACAGCAAACCAGGTGGAGAAGTGTGACATTGCATCTTCAATTGGAAAAAGGGGGAACTTTAGGTAGGCCAAGTGTACCGGTCCAGATTGGAGCTTAGTCAGGGCACCAGGGTAAACACCCCTTCTCTAATGAGCAGTGCTGTGAGGAGCTTTGCTGGCCAATTAGTCGGAACCTCAGGTGTGTGTGTCACCTGAAGGTTGGCACCGTTCACTGCACAGTGTCCCTGTTCACCATGATGAAGCACTGGCTTGGCAATTCTGGTTCAGAGCGTAGAGTGCCCACTACTGCCCCACCAACACCTGGCTGCAATACCCACCTGGGTTTGATCAGAGGTCTTTTACACTTACACATTGGGAAAGCAAAAAACAAACAAACTGGTGTTTCTAAACTCAGAAAAAGAAAAAAATATACATGAACACTTGCTCCTAACACTTTCAAGGGAACTATTCAAAAACACATGCCTTGGTTATGACTAGATACATCTCGTCATATATTTGTGACTGGATAGTCATATTTTTTTTTATTGTACTCAAATAAAGTACCCTTTTTTAATTTAATTTAGCCTACTTCCTGCCATTCTGAAAATGTCTCTGCAATTTTTACAATCATTTCTGAGCATTTTTTAACTTCAATTTTCTGTTCATTCAAGTTAAGATGCGAGTTGAGATTTTGTGTGGTAGCAGTTCTCTGACCGGTCCCAAATTTTCTGTTGCATAAGTCTCCCAGGAAAATCTATGAATTAACATCCATCATCTCTTCCAGAGTCTAAAGAACAGAACTACACAAGTGTAATATGTGAAACGTTAACTGGTTCCATTGCTTGTGGTAAGTCTTACACTTTCGAGGCTGCCCGTTCATTACACAGTGGGGTGGCATTATCTAAAAAAGACACTTTCAAAGCCCTCTTTAAAATCTTATATTTTTCCCACCGTATGATTTTTAAAAATTTTACCATAAAAAATGTTAGAAAAATCCTGAAGGAGCCAGATTCCATGTGGATTCTGTCAGTCGTCGTAGGACACATCTTGGATACCGATCTCATCTTACTTCCCATTTGCTGTCCAAATGGCCTGTGATTCCTCTCATCCAAACTTCAGCTCCCCAGTCTACGACGTAGTCTTCCACCTCATTTCCACACAGGTTCAGGTTCCAATTTACAGGCTATTTCTGTGAGAAAATACCTTGTAGGTTTCATGTGGCTGCGGACACAGCAATGTGTACTTCGCCCCATTCGATTTCCTACAGTCTGTCGGCGTCTTGTCACTGTTTCTCTGTTTCCAAACTGCTGTCTCTGGCAGAGAAGGGTGTCATTAAGATCTACAAGGTCAACTATGGGCGCACCAGTTCCTCTGTCTGCAGTCAAAATCAAGCTGCTTCAGTGCTGGCCAAGACCGATTGTCTCTCCAACCAATTCACCTATGTCAATCAGAGGTAAGATACGCCTTTACAAACACACTGGATACCGTTTCGCTATCAACAGTTACGAAGACATAAATGGGCAGCTTTCTGATCCTTTCTAATCACGTGAGGGTTCCCAGGAGCTTCCCTGAGCAACAGGTGTCACCTACACATGCAGGAGAGCCAAGGATGTCCTCATCTGTAGCCTAGGAGTCTGCCATGTTACAGTAGTTGATCCCTCAGACTGACTTCTATTCACTTAATGCATTTTTATACAAAAATTCGTATTCTATATTCTGGTCGCTTACAGATTAGAATGGCATATGTTTAGCAATAATATTATTTATGGTACCTGAAAGTTTCAGGTTGTTGCACAAAGCTAAGGTATGCGTATACGTGATCTGACAACTGGAATCAATTTCCTGTCGTTAAACTCTGTTTATTTTTAATAAACAGTCTTCACCCCCAGTAAGAAAAGCTCAACTGAGCAGATGCTGTGCGCAACAAAAAAACATAAATAAGTCATTTAAATAAGATTAAAAAAAAAACATTTTAAAAAATTCTCCCCAGCAGCCCTGTGGATCCTGGCCATTAATTCCAGACAGAGCTTGTTCGCCATTAGTTTTAACTGGACCACAAAATTTCAGGTCTTAATTACATTTGATTTTGAATAGAGGAAATAATACAAAACAGGCCAGACCTACACTACCATGCCATTATAAAGGAAGGGAAAACTTCTGTCACCTCTCTGTGGTAAAATAGTGTTCAATACAGTACTACCAGAGCCTTTTCCCCAGGCTGTCAAGCACCTGTCCTTGGACATACTAGTTTATGATGATGATGATGATGATGATGATGATTATTATTATTATTATAATACACTCATGTAGTAACACTTAAGAACAGGGCTCTGCAGCTGTATGACACCAGCAAACCTGACACTGTCCCTGTTGTCTATCGTAGTTGTGGCAACAAAATCATCTGCACGGTGACAGTCAAGAACTTTGCTGACCCCTGCGGTGGCACCTACAAATACCTGGAGACGTCCTACGCCTGCGTATATGACTGTGAGTACACACAGGAGACACAGGAGCTGCCCCACTGGCCCAGCTGCCCCAGTCCACTGAGAGATAGACTTGTGGGACACAAGCACAATCCAAACTTTAAGGATCCCTGTGTCATCTCTGGGCGCCTGAAACCTGCGCTGCGATTCCCAGAATGCAAACAGGAAGTGTGTGGATGTGGAGGGCGGAGGGACGAGACATCGGGCTGGCCGGGACAGGCGGGCTCCAGCTGGGGTTTCCCCCTCTGGGATGGAGAAAGGCTCTCCGCAGATTTCATCTCCGCACACATCTCCCGGAGCTTGTCTCCCAGATTTCCCTCCCTGCCCTTCTCTTCGCCCTCCTCTCCCTCCCTCACCCCTGAAGAAGGCTCAGCAGCGCCTCTGCTTTCTTTCCGCACTTCCCCACGAACGTCACCTCCGCACCTCTCTGCTCTCGCAGAATCATGCACCAAGAGTGCGTCAATATTTCCCTTTTCTTCCAGGAACATCTGAGGCCTGGATACCCCCCATGAAACACACCAACACATTCGTTCAGTATTATAACCTTGCTTTGATGCAGGAATCTTGCACAACGCAGTGGGAAATCCCCTAGACTGTCTCCCATGACGTGGCCGCAGCAATTAAAAAGGGGGTCATTTAAAGGCTAAATATTATCTTCCATCTTTACACCAGGGGTGTCCAGTCCTCATCCTGGAGAACCAGCGCACCAGCAAGGTTGCCTTCCAGCTCTGGTCATTATGACTGAAATCAGCTTAATGGGGCTGATTTACTGACGTCTCTCAGCTCTTCAAGGGCTGGTGCCTGAAAGAGAGCTGGAAATCCCCCCCGCCTCCCCAGGGGCTCTTCTGTTGCCTCTGCTTTTAATTTGAATACATACATGTAACAGATCTGTCAATGAACAACTGTAGTTTAACTGTTGGGAAAAGAACTACTGTAGCTTTCAAGACAATATAACTAAACGTTCGATTAAACATCAGAATTAGAGATGCATTTCTGGTATATCTGGGAAGGAGCTGAAGAACCTAATAAATGCCTTACTGTTGCCTCAAAACAAAGTCAGTAGTCAGTAGGTCCACCAGAAATGCTTACTGCAGCAGCCAAGTTTTCCACAGAGCTCTCCTATTCCAGTATGGACCAGGCCCAGCCTTGCTTAGCTTCTGGCTTGAAGGGGGCAGCTCCGGCTCCGTAAGTAATGGCTTCTCCTACTGTACATAATGCATAAGGCCAAGCTGACTTATTGACGTTCTGCGCTCATTTTGTTATTTTTGTACTAAGACTGGCCACTCATCCCTGCGTTTTATGCGTTCTCTGTCAGATGACCTGTATTACATCCCTGAAAAAAAGACTTGGGACGAAGCTCTGGGACTCTGTAGGAAGAATTACTCGGACCTGCTGTACATCGCTCAGCCGGACGTGCTCAGACAAGTCAACACACTGTTCGGAGCGGCGTCTGGCGAGGTCTTCCCTGAGGGGGGCGTGTGGATCGGGCTGCAGCGGAGTGTGAGCCAGGGTTACCTGGACTGGCACTGGGCAAATGGCACTTCAGTCGAGTTCAATATGTGGGACAGTGGCTTTCCCACAGACCCCCTGTTCCAACACTGCGTCAGGCTGGACTACAACAGTACAGGGCACATGGTGTGGAACGCTGCCTGCTGTGAAGAACAGCTGCCTTTCATCTGCCAGGTCAGTTTCCCTTCTCATCCTCTATGTTCCCCCTCCACCTTCCCTGGGTGATCTACTCTTCTGCATTCTTCCTCCCTGATTTCCCACTCAGCCTCCTCCTCTACATCCTCTCTGCTCTTTTCCTGATCTCCCACTCAGCACTCCCCTCTAAACCCTGCCTCCTCCCTGATCTCCCACTCAGCCTCCTCATCTACATCCTCCCTGCTTTTCCTGATCTCCCACTCAGCACGCCCCTCTACACCCTGCCTCCTCCCTGATCTCCCACTCAGACTCCTCCTCTTCATCCTGCCTCATCCCACTCAGCCTCCCACGCTCCCACTCAGCCTCTTCCTCTACACCTGCCTCCTCCCTCCATGATCTCCCACTCAGCCCCTCCTCTACACCTGCCTCCTCCCTCCCTGATCTCCCACTCAGCTCCTCCTCTACACCTGCCTCCTCCCTCCCTGATCTCCCACTCAGCTCCTCCTCTACACCTGCCTCCTGATTTCCCACTCAGCCTCCTCCTCTTCATCCTCCCTCCCAGCCTGATCACACTCAGCCTCCTGTTTGAGGAATGAAGTTTGTTGTTCCAAATAATCCCTACGCTGCTTCACGTAGCAGATCACCTGGAACTGATCGCCAAGCCTTTAGAAACAGCAGATTTAATGGTTACATATAAAACTGGCTGGCCTGGGACTCACCAAGTGCTGAGCTTGAGATGCCTAATATGAGGTTTTATGGTAGATCTAGTACAAGCAGCCAATGGATCTTCCCGGGAGCAGAAACAGCCCTTGATAACGCAGCATTCAGAATATAGAACAGACGACTTGGTAATGATATTACGATGGTGCTTTGTGTTTGTTCCTTCAGGATTAAAGAACGAGACATGCTCAGCACCAGCTCCTCCTTCCCACTTCGAGAAACAACATTTCTAGAAAAAGAACCAAGGCCTGCTGTTTTCTCACCACAGTTCGATCCACCTGTCAAACATTTGAGACAAGGGCACCGTATGCAAAATTTTCCATCCTGGATGCTGTATCTGACGAAAATGTAAAATCCCTTGTAAAACCATTTCCAATGATAGTTTATTCATTTTGTGCTACATTTTTAGGCTTTGTCTGAAACATGGAAACATGCTGTTTCCACTGCTGCTTCAGCGATTTAATTATTATTTTTTGGTTTGTTTTATTGTCTTTTACAAAGATTATGGTTTTGTTCTTGTACTGAATCCTAAAGCATGTTACAATATGAAAATGAGTGCACGCACACACACACAAAAAAAGTTGTATGAAGTTAAATGATTAAATTTCAAGTAAATTACATTGATTTCCTTCTGGAAAGCATCTCATTCATGTAGATGGCACGTAGTTAAAATCAGCAACAAAGAGAGTTCCCCGATTCATGTACTTTTCTGTCATTTGAGTTCTGTTTTCCAGAGCTAGATTTTTCGCACGTTGTCAAAACATTTTTGTTCATGTATTTTGGGGAGAAAGGGTTGGGAATTTTCTTTTTCTCGTGGGACTGTTTGGATGAGAGCAGGATCAAGCTGGGGGGACATTCCTGGCCACACAGCACTGTGACACAGGCAGAGGGGCTTTGTGGGTGCCGAAGTCCTCGCTGGTCTCTTCTTTAAGCAGCCCTTCGGCTGAGGTGCTGTATTCACGTGCTGTGTCGCAGCAGAAAGAAAGCTGGTGTTCACGCCTTCCAGTTACGATGCACAGAAGAGGTGGCATCCATCCCTGAAGAAGGCTCAAATTGT